AGTGCTCATCCAAACATGTTTGCAGAGTAAAGAATGCAGGGCTTGTGCTTCTTTCAGGTATTAACCTTGGGATTTACATTTGACGTTTTAACAATGGCCCCCTCCTTGACCTACACTCCAGGATGAAGCAGGACTTGAGGATAACTCCCACTGACGGATAACCACAAGCAGCATGGCTTTGCAAACACATGGGGCTGGCTGTTGCATGACAAAACATGACTTAATTACTCATGAAACTAATGAAGTTTGTTTGTGAAAAGAAAAACTGAAGCTTAAGTAGTGTACTAGAAAAAAATGGACACGATGTGATTCATGGCTTCACACATCACGAAGCAGGGCTAAGTGACAGATCATTGTTCACTCCGAGCAGCTAGTTCATCTGTCCCCCCTCCTCAGTCACTGGCCCAGCAGAGGAGAGCACAGACCCCCTCACGGATGCCACAACCATCTCCCATCAAAGAGGATACAATGCCACATCTGCACCAACAACAGCCTGACCATACTTTTACACACAAGAGCAAATGGGGCCATGTCACATCACTTCACATATTGCTGCTATGGTTTACACAGCAGGCTCAAGGACATTTTTACAAGTGCACAAGCAAACAGAGGACAGCCTGAACAGCACTCACAGGTACATGTGACCTGTCCTGCCTCACACCTCAAGTGTGAGAGCAAAAGAAAACTTGCACTTTTACAGACAGGAATGTACATAGTTAAATTTAACAAGGCTTTTACAATTCTGCTTTGTATAACAACATTAGGACTAGGCTGGTTGGTGAATTTAACCAGTTAGATTAAACAATTTTGAATAACATTTTATTACCAAAATGGGTACAACAAAATAAAACACAAAATATGTATCTTGAAGATACAGAAGAGAAGATAGGTTTAAATGGCAAAAGTGTTTTCCTCTTGGCTGTTTTTCAGAAGTCCCAAGTGTAATAAGGCTCTTCTGAGTGTGGAATATACATATCTAAAATGACTATGATATCTGGAGTGCCCCAGCGTATGCCTTATCCAAAGACATCACCCGGCTTGAGAGGTGCCTTTAGCAGGCTCCTTGAAGCAGGGAGCGGGCGTCCCACTCTGGGACAATGGTGAGGGAGGCGGAGGGGAGCCGGGGGAGCAGGAACACATAGCATATTAAATTTGCTGGCGGAGCGCGGTCGTCCACGCACAGAGCTAGAGAGCAGATCTGAGCCATGCCCTGAAGGGATGGCTGGGCCTGGGGATTGGGAGGCACAGCCCAAGACCCCTTCTTGTCTCTGCTCGCACGCAAATGCACCCGGACATTTTTGACGCTCCTCAGGTTTGCTGTCTTTGCCCAACTTTTTCCAGCAATCTATCCACACACACGTCCTTCTGTTCCAAGGAGCTCTCCTTCTCCATCTGACTTGTCCTCTTGTCTTTCCGGACTGTCTGCTTCACTTCATGTCAACATATCAAAGTGATCATCAAAGTTCCTCTTTTTATTTGGGAAGCATTCCATTAAAGTCCAGTCCAACAGTAACAAGCAAAGGAAGCAACAGCTAATTCAGTTACTCCGGGAAGAATTCACAGGACACAAACCCCAAACACCAGTGAATTAAACTGTATGATATGACTTACATTTTAAACAAAAGCTCTTCAAATCCTTCTGACTGTCTTGGGAAAAATCTATTTCCTTCACATTATCCTTGCTTTAACAAAACATTCAGCACCTCTTTAAGTTTTTGTGCTTAGCACATTAGCACAACAACAGAGCTCATTAGGGGTCCTTACATACACCCCTAATAACAGGTATTTTCCTGTAAAAAGGCCTCAGGACACAAGCAGCCTTTTAGCTGTGAATGCAAGGCCCTTAAATAGAGAAGAGGCCCATAGCTCAAAAAGCTAATAGCATGTCATCTCCCTGCATTAACATGATAGCCCTTATTTTGCCAGGTCACAAGGTCACCAGCGTACGGGGAGCTGGTGTGGCTATGCATAATTTTGGTGGAGGAGATAAAGCAGTATGTGGCTATCTGACAGACTGAGTGAGAGCGGAGCAGAGCGTTATCCGCACGCTCCGACTACACGCGGCTCAGGAGCAGAAAGGAGACCATACATCTTAGCTGGCTACAGTAAGCGAGGGGCTGTGTGTTGTGCATCTCATTCCAACAGATTAGCATCTTAAACACTGCTGCATTCATCACTGCTGCTGCATCATAATGAGATATGGCGCTTTTTCGGAGGAGGTGCACCTGTTTGGCATTAATATGACCTACAGCTACAACTTAGGAAAAAAGATTGTAGTAAAAACAACTTGTATACAATCCCATTTATGTATTAAGAAATTATTGTCAGCATTCACAAAAATAAATATATATAATTTTTATACCTGCCAATTGTTTTTTGTTTTTACTAAATATAGGCACAAGTCTAACACATCACTGAAAAAATAGGAAACATTTCTTTATTAACACACTGTTTCTGTCATAAAATATTTCCCAAAATGTGTTACTTCAAAATATGATCAGAATGTAAATTTGAAAGAATTACCATAATTTGGCAGGAGATCAATTTAATTTATTTACAATGAATAAGAAAGAAAATAACAAATTAAGAAATACTAACAATGTACTTACACTTATGATATTAATATTTGTTCACATTTTTAGAATTTACTTTTTTACCAAACTTAATTTCAGATTTGATGTATTATTTCTAATTATTCCAGATAGTAATAATCTGGTACATAGTGAAAAAGGAAAACGTGTTTCAGCTATTCCCATCACAGGCCTATGTGTAAAAGGCCTGACAATGTGACAGTGATTTATTTTAAAAATGACTGTTGCTTTCATAAATAAACATGGGAAATATCTCATATCAGTTTACGTGACAGCACTTCTATATTTTATTGCATTTGACAATTTTAACAAGCCCTTCTAAAACTGTGCCAAATCCCTCACAGAGATAAATCATAGACCTGGCTCAGAACCTGATTGTATGCGCAGATACACGTTCTGTAAAATATCTTCGTTGCTCTGTCACACTGCCTCGACGGTTTGTGCTGCCTTCAGAATTTGCCGAAAAAAGGCGGACTAAAGCTGGACCGCATGGCTGCACTTCGGACCCCTCGGCTGGACGAAACCCGAGAGCGGACAAGCAGATAAAATGTGGAACAGCTGGCAAAGGCAGGAGGGAAACTTTCAAACAAATCGCTGCACATGTGGAGGCTCTGGGCTCCCACGTTTTTATGTCGCAAAATCCTAAACCAACATACAACTTCTGTTCACTTTTTTCTAGGGCTGCATAATAAATTGCAAAAATATCAATATCAAATTATTGGCTGATGCAATAACCGATATTGAAAGAAAATTAAAATATCGCAACACACAAGGTTTTTAATTTTACAGAAATTTACAGTTATTGTAAGTAAAAAAGGCAGATTTTACTCGTGATTTTGCTTACTTGGGTCAGTCTTGCGTTAAGTTTTTATTATCTTATTCTTATCTTTGACTAATTAAGGCATGTACATTTTTTTGTTTTAATTTAATTTAACTTATTGTGCCAAAAAGTAGGCTATATTAAAATATTGCAATAATATTGTTATCACAATGCAAAACAGTTACCTTTCATATAAAGATGTTTATCTTGCATTAACAGCCTTCTTCTATTTTATTTAACCTAAAAAGTGTTTGTCTTGATCATGTTTATAGTTCAAACATATATTATCTTAAATGTCACATTTGGGCAAAATCTACAATGTATAATTCGTAGTATATTTACACACGCTGTTATTTTGCTTGGGGCCCCTGGCACTCCCCACACGGACCCCTGCAGAGCCCAGACCCCACTGTAATGGGCTTAAATTTCCTTTGAGCACATGCCTTCACCACAATGTGTCTGAAACCCTCACTGTTTAAACGTGAAAGGAAACATGGCCTAATTTGAAAAATACCCTGCACAAATCTTTGGAGCAATCATGAACAATTGTGTTCTTATAAGCGCAAGTGTGACATGTGTAAACCTATGGCACAAATCAGGACTTTTGACTGCTTTATCATTTACTTTTAAATTCAAATTGTACGTTTTTTACAAATGGGAAAATGCAGCGTCACATTGAACAGTTAGTTAAACAAAAGCGAAGCTTGAATACGAGGGAAAACAATTCACTTTTGTAAACTTTTCCTTTGAAACTTAATAAGTGCGGGGTCACGCTAGGGGTCAGGCCGAACCGTTAGATAAACACAAACGATGTCTGTACATGGCCTGCGTACCTTCTCATAAAGTGCTTTCCAAAGTCTGGCCAACTCTGACAGCATAAACTGAATCAATAACAGACGCTGAAATATGATCACACGTGCACATAAATATGCATGTGTGCGCCCCCTCCCTCCCCTCGTCCCATGCGCGTTTTTACAGGCAAACGTCCAATACTAAGTTACATGCATACTGAGTGCAGCAAACTTTCTGCTCTCAGCGGCTTTCGGCACGATCGTTCCCGAGCCTGCAACACTCACAATCCAACTTTGCGAAGTCTCGTGCAACTTCACAAGAGCATAGTTACAAAGCGCCACATCTGTCCTAAGACGAGAAATTGTGGATTGTTACAAGAATTAAGAGCTGCATAAGTAAAAGGGGAAAGTCTGCGCTCAGTTCTCAGTTCTTCCTATAAAATCATTTTCTGATAAATGTCCATGATTTTTAGGAAAAGTTTATGCAAAAACACTTCAAATCTGCCCCACGTGTCTGTAACTAACATGACTAAGCCAACAAAAATGAAACGTCTTGTAAACGCACACATCTGAAGCGAAACGTGTATAAAAATCCCCATTTAGAAGAAAGGGGTGGAGGATCACTAACAGCCATATAAAGAAAGGAAGACATTTTCAAGTGTCAAATAGAGAATGTATAATGATCAGTTTATGAGGGTCGACCCAGGCTGTTCGCTCCGAAACTAGGAATCCCTTCATTTTCAAACGCTAACAAAGTTTGTACACAGCGCACAGTCCCGTCTCCGTGCGTCTACTTACTTGTTTTAGGCTGATTCCCCGCTTGTTCTCGTCCTAAAAGTATCTTCGGGAAAAGTCTCTTCTCCTCTGGCGAAGTTGCAGATGTGCCTCTGGACTTTTTCTTTCACGCTGCAAGTCCAACTCCAGAACGGCGCTGCCAGAGTTTTTCCTCTTGTTCGTCTTTCTCCTCCTTCTCACAGTCTGCCGTGTTCAAGCACCGCCGGACCAAAACCATGAGCGTGCCGATAGAATCTGCCGAAAGCAGACCGCAGATGTGCCTAAAAACAACAGAGGCGTCAGAGAAGCGCGTGGAGAGTTGTTATTACATTTGGAGCGCTTTTCCAGCAGAAGAGGGGCGAAGTGTGCTGGGACTCCAGCTGCTCCTTCCCCCGCCTGACTCCTCCCTTCGGATCGCTCCCTCCTTTCCCCACTGCCTCCCACCTTTCACGAGTGTACCCCCTTTCTCTGTCTGCTCTGCAGCTCTCCAAGTACAAGTGCGCTGGAACTTTTTACGCACAGGCTCCCGTACTGTTTAACCCATTTGAATGTCAGCAGGAGCAATGTCGACCCACTGCACACGGCTCTGCACATTTACTGTTTTAACAAGTGAAATAGTCCTAAATAATATGGAAATGATGCAGCAGTTCAAGGGCTGCTAGCCTGCTATAACACGATTAGCTCATTAACTGCGCAATTAACCTATTTAAACAAGACGGACACGATTCTATTCTTTTTAATCGTTAGGCTCATGTTAAATCTTAGAATAAGCAAGCCACATAAAGCAAAATGTTTATCTTACCTTTTGTAAGTGTTAGAGTCTAATGAGAAGAAGCTAACACAGCAGAGTTTATGTTAGTTTTGACAAGAAGCTGCATTTTTAAACTTAACACTCACCACTTTATCGACAGAAACTCACAAAATAACTTGTGCTGTGTGCTTTTTGTCTGTTTTATAAAATGTGTGCAGCATACTGATGGAAGCTTGGCTGCTACTAAACTAAATGTGAGTGCTGTGGTGAAGTTTATGGCTAATTCTGATGTGGCAGACAAGTGGGCAGAGGCGGAGCAAAGGAAAGGCAACCGAGGCCTCCTGAGGATACGGGCACCACTGGGACACGTACCAAACAAAACTACCTGGATTAAATAAAATAAATAAATACTTATGTTATTTTACTGTGTGTTTTATTGGGTGTAATTAGGTTTAACCAGCTAGTCCAATAATTTAGAAGTGTAAAAGAGTCAATAAAATGCCATGTCGCTGATTGCTGCTATAGCAATATACCAATCATGTTTTACAATAGACTACAACTTGGTTATTTTTATTTCATTTATTTCTTTGAATTAGGATGGGCACACTAATAGGCTAAATGTGTTAGCAAGTAGCTTTAATATAAATACACCAAAGTTAGAACAATAACAAAATTTCATCTGTTGTCCTAAGGCAGATACAAAATTATTAAAGCTTCAATTAGACAACAACACACTCATTACTCAACATTACAAGACATTAAACATTAAACACTACATTAAACATTAAACTAGGCATTTAGTTGGGTTGGGAATGCAGTGTTTCCCACAGATATTATTAAGATCATGGTGCCACAAATAATTTTGATTTGGATTATTTTATCTCAAACAATTTTTGGAGTATAAATGTCACGTATTGCTTATATTTAATTTTTAACCAGTCGTTTTGACCAGTGTAGTCTCTTTTGTGAGTTTATAATAATACAACAAGCAACCGAGTGTAATTTTATTAAGCCAATATATAGTAGTTCAGGTTGTTTTTAAACTATGGGGGAGAATTTTAGTTTATATAGGTTATATCCCACCATAGTCTCTTGTTTTATTGGGAAACAATGGAATAAACATTTGCAGCTTTACACCAATTTAAAAAAAAAAAAAAAGAACATGCAGAAGGCCTATATAGTATAAATAATAGCCTAGTTTCAGTGTTTTTTACGCAGAGTATATAGCCTAAAAATTAAACTAGTTTGTCTTTGCCTTTATCAAATGGCATATGGCTACAGGGTGTGGAACATAGAGTGTGTGTATAAATGGATTCAAATAGGAAGTGAGCATGGGTGTAACTCTGGCTCCATTGACTCTGGTTCCACTTCACTTTGTATTGAGAAAACATTACACCTTTCTCTGTATCTGCTGCTGTCAGAGTCCTCATTTTGGTCTTAAAATGTTCGGATTAACCCGCTCTACATGATTGTGGCTTATTTATTTATGTATTCTTATGACATTTGGCTCCAAATCCCCTCCATAAATGTTAGCCTCAATGAGCTTCATTTGACTGGAGCTGAATGCTATGGGTGACATCACACTCCTTTAGTTCACTTCTTTATACAGTCTATGGTGTTACAACAATTTAACAAAAAATAAATAAATAAAAAAAAAAACACTTGCTGGGTGCCTAAAGCATATAGTTTCAGTGTTTTCTATGCAAAACCTAATGTTTTGGATCAAATTGGGCCAGTTAGCCTTTACCTATATAACCTAAGTGACAAATGGATTCAAGTAGAATTGTAACAATAACCAACAATATCGTATCATCAAATATCTTACAATAATATTGTGGACATCACAATATATCAAATTACAAGACTCTTCACTTAAATTAATAGTTATGGCAGCAACAGCTAAAAACAGAAAACTACATAGACCATGATCCTTTGCTCCGTTTTAGTGCAGACTACATGAAGAAATAACTGTTATAAGCACTTTGAAATCTTAATTCTTTGGATTAAGTCTTGTCAAGGAATTTCAAGAGCAAAAAGTAGTGTATTCAGTCTTGTTAGCCTCCCCAAAATATCGTAATAAATATCATGCCATGAGATACATATCGTAAAAATATCGTGCTGAGAGATTTAGATATTGTTACACCTCTAGCTTCAAGGTATTGAAGTAGTAGTCATATTTTTAACCTGTATTTTCTTTATTCAAACAAATAACAAAATGATGTTTTGCTATAAAACTCTCTCCATCATAAAAGAATGCAGTCTAGAATCAAAATCGAAGACACACTTACGCTTCACTTCAAGTCGTACTCAATTACCCATGCTAAGCCTTACATTTACATTATAGAGCAGCCTGCCGCGCGTATTGGAAGCTGTCGATTTATGAAGCGGTCTCCTGGGCCCGGCCTTCACAGACCTACCTAACGCAGGGGTGAGGCGGCGAGCGGGCGTCCTGTAGGGTTAGGTGTGATCAATATACATAGTCGATATACAGGGAAATGATGTGGTAAGAGAGGTCTTTAGGGCGCTGTCGCAATCAATGAAGAGGTGGGAGTTTTGGAGAGGAAAATCACCATTTAATCGCTTAACCAGGATTTGAATGTGTGTGTGGTCAAGAGGTCAAGTCCATCAAGTGCACAGTAGGACTTCTTAGCATGACGTAGCCTACATGAGCTAATTAAAGGGCCTATTTTAACTGTTTTAACTTCTGGTCTATATTATAATATTGTTTCCTCATTAAAACATACATGGAGTTGTTTTGTTTCATTCACACATGTTTAACACACAAATCCTGCATATTTAGGCTGAGTTCTTCTCTAAAACGGAAAACACTTAGGATACAGGAAGCACTCCACTGTGTTTTTAAACTTCATACACATTCACTGGAATCATTTGGATGATTTCAAGCCAAGAAATGCCAATCTCTACAGAACTAAAAGTGAAAGGTAGCTGTAAACTTGAAAACTACCACTACTCCATGACATCACAAGGTGGAGTAGAGCATTTTGAGCTTTGGAAATTTTGACAGACTAATTATGCAGGATTATTCAAATGTGTGAATGAAACAAAACACAGTTCCAGGTCTGTTTTGGAGGTGGTAACAACATTCTAACATGACTAAAAGTTAATGAGAATTTGAGCTAGCCTAATTCATCAGCCGGTTTCACTTTGTGGAAACTGTCTGACCTTGCAGCATTAGGATTCATTTGCTCAATGGTAGGAGGCCCTTTTTTATTTAGCCAATCGCTGTTATTTAATCGTGATGTAGGTAATGCGCCAAATTCCATAGGAAGAAGGGCACCAACATTCTAAGATGACTAAAAGTTCATGAGAATTAATCTATCTTGCATTTATTAAATTACAGGTGTTTTGCTTAAACAACATAAAAATACTTTTGAAAAACATGCTTTGTTTTTGAGATACAATGCAAAAAAGCGTGCCCAGAATTGAAGATATAAGCACATAAATCTATCAGAAAATTACGTAAACATTGTAAAATTATGTGTCTATGCAGCAAGATAATTTAACTTGACAAGTTATCTTCAACTAAACTAGCCTGATTCATCAGCCAGTTTCACTTCATAGAAACTGTCTGACCTCGCAGTGTTAGAATTTGTTTGCTCGACGGTAGGTGGATACTTTTTTTATTTAACAAATTGCTGCTATTTGGTCGTGACATATGTAATTAAATCCTCGATCTCGGGAATCGTTGACAAGACAGAATATATGGCTCTTCGCTGATTGGCTGGTGCCTTAAATTGCACTTCCGGGTTTTTGCGAACCATCTATAGCATTTTGATTCCTGACCTAGTCGAGAAATGAAATTGAGCAGAGGCACTAGGTGGCACCAGCCTGCCTAAAAATAAACTACCCCAACACTAGAATTAATGTAATTTAGAACTAGTAAGTAGATAATAAATCTGAAAGCAAGATGAATAACCTGATATAAGTTTTAACATCTTGAACATGTCTAAAAGCTCACATTCTGTTTAATTCTGTTTAATTACATGATACATGCAGAAACAAAATGAAAATGTAATGTCATTTTAAATCACATTCTTGTATAGCGCTTGGGGTGTTCTCAAATCAAACTTGCTTCAGAAATGTAGCGTATGTGTATGTGATCCACTGCTAACTGCCGAGTTGATCAATCAGGGCTCATGTCACTAATGGTCGACATGTTTCCCAATAAATCTTTAAATGTCCAGCTTTGGTTTGGTCTGTTTTTAGATGGATGACCTGCAAACAATTGGAATAAGTGGCTTTATGTCAGAAATCAGGAAGGAGCTAGTGTATTATGGAAAGAGGCTCCATGGCATAAAATAGGGTTATGTTTTTGTCAGGACTGTCATGTTGGTTATAAATAAACCTCCAGACATGCCTGTAGATATTAATACGTATTTTCCAAGAATCCATGATGTAACCAACAAATGTAGCCAAATATTTTCCTAGTATTTCTTTTTAAACTTATATTTTTGTTAAAGGTCCTATATTGTACAAAATGGATTCTGGATCTGGCTAAAAATAA